AGTTCATCTGTATCATTTTTTTAGATTTCTGAAGTCCAACATTTAAATAAAATTCCACAATTCTATGCTATCTCTTAGACTTTCTAATGTCCACTAGAGTACCCTGTATCTTACATCTCCCCTCACAAACAAGTCTGCCCAAATAAGACCTATATCTAAGTTCTAAACACGGCCATCGGTCATCTCTGACCATTGTCTAGAGCATCATCAATATAGTAGTAGCCGCTTGCTACATGTGGCTATTTAAGTTACAAGTAAATAAAATAAAAAAACTCAGTTCCTCAGACACACTAGGCACATTTCAAGTACTCCACAGCTTCATTTGGCTAGTGGCTACCATGTTGGACAGCAGAGATACAGAACATCTCCATCGTGGCAGAAAGCTCTACCGGACAGCACAGGGGTAGAGATATTTCAGGACAGCATCTTTTCATCTAAAATCCTTCTGACACTGTACAGAAGGACACAGCCTCTTCACAGAATTAAGGGCTTCACTAGGCTAACTGAGGCCATACCTACGTGTCCTCAGATGTCATCTTTTAGGAATAACACTCCTTGAGAAGTTAGGTCACTGGATAAACTTATAAAGCAAGCAGACCGGCCTCATACAACACAAAGTATCAGAAACTAGAGGTGCTAAGAAACAATCATTGTAATAAGGCCTTCCATTCGGGAATAACCACCCCATGGAACCACAGGTCAGGATTCACCAGGAACAATCACACAGACACACGCATGGCCACCCACACAGGGGCATCCCTAGGCTCTTCCTCACCAAAGCCCTCTCCGCTATGCCTCCTGGGCAAGACAAGGTCCCCACGTTTGGTCTCTTGTTTCTATTAAGTAAATCACTGCAAGAAAATCACCTTTCAATCAGATTGGTATTTCCCACCAATCACTCTCAATTGCTTCATTAAAAGCTGGAGAATCAGCAATGAGACAGGCTTTTGGTGACAATGACAGTCTGACAGTAGGCTAGAAAAGAGAGCCTCAGTCCCCTCAGTGACACCTGACCTGGAAGGAGTTACTTAAAAGACTTCCAGGGGGCTTCCCTGGTGGCGCAGTGGTTGAGAATCTGCCTGCCAATGCAGGGGACACGGGTTCGAGCCCTGGTCTGGGAAGATCCCACATGCCGCGGAGCAACTAGCCCCGTGAGCCACAATTACTGAGCCTGCGCGTCTGGAGCCTGTGCTCCGCAACAAGGGAGGCCGCTGCCGCGATAGTGAGAGGCCCGCACACCGCGATGAAGAGTGACCCCCGCTCGCCACAACTAGAGAAAGTCCTTGCACAGAAACAAAGACCCAACACAGCCATAAATAAATAAATAAATAAAATTTTAAAACAAAAAGGCAAAATCCCTTTAAAAAAAAAAAAAAACTTCCAGGAATTAAAAAACTTGAGAAACTCTGGGTATAGCTCCACTTTGGGGGAGGATCCTAAAATACAGTGTTGGTTACTGTTGGATTAGAACAGCCCTGGGTGGGACACAGAGAGTGATAAAGAGGCAAGGTCACTGATCGACCTTCGACTGTTCCAACCTGCAAGTGCCCTACAGGAGGCATTTCTTCTCCCTCTCTCTCTCTCTCTCTCTCTCCATTCTTCACTGCTTTCTCCTTCCTCCCTCCCCACTGCTGTCTATGCACCAGGCCCTTAAGATTGAACTCCATGCCCAAGATAAGCCAGACATCATGGCTGCCGATATTGGTCTATAAACAACTGAATGCCACCTCCAGTGCGAACTCCTTTAGGTAATTACAGTAACCCCTTGACAGTCCCAGACTCAAATCAGCATGCAGGTCAGACCTGGGTCTCTCTCACCACAGTAATGGATGGGAACTTTGTAAAGCTAAGACAAGAAATCGAGGAGAGTTTTCTAATAAAAATGCAAATCAATTCATCCTCGGTTGGGGGAAGGTGATGACAAACTAACATGTTCCTCTCTTAGAGCCTATGAAAGTCATCTCTGAACTCCCAACTCCATCACATGAGTAAGGCCGACTTCTGCCTCTCTTCTTGGCATTACTCACCTTTGCTTACGGACCACGGCCAACGGAATCACTACCTCCAAGGAGAGGTCCAGCATTAACCCTTTCCTGCCCAGTAGCTCACAACAGCTTCGTAACCTGGGGGACCTTTCTCTAGCCTCATCCCTCCACCTCCCAATCCATTCCCGACCACCTGCCAGGTGAGCCTTGGGAAGCAACCCGCAGGCCAGGCCTCTCCACATCAATAAGGTGGGTCAGGTGCCACCGTCTCTAAGATCCAACCCTGGCCTTGAGGCTCTCCTGAATCTACTTTTTCTCCCTCTTGTCTTCAGATCTTCCCTGCCCCCCAATACATCCAGCTTACCCTCCATAACACCTACAACATCTGCTCTGGGAAATTTTCCCAGGCCTGAAATGCCCATCCCCTTTTGGGTACAGTAACACTATAATAACCAGTCATCTCCTCTAGAACAGGGAACGTCCTACACTTCCCGGTATCTCTGAAGAGCGTTTCAGAGCCAGACTCTTACACAAAAATCAACGCTCTGCAAGTATTTGCTAATCCACTGAAAACAGCTGCTATCCATGCCGGTAAGTTCATTATTTAGACAGTGGATTCTCAGACCATGAAGACCCCTTCCACATCCAGTTTACTCACTGTGAGCCCATGGAGGCTCCAGACTCTGTCTGGTGATTCCAGCTCCACCATTTATCAGGAAAGGCACTTAACACCTCTAAGCCTCAGTACTGTCTTTTGTGAAACCAAGGTCATAAGAGTACCAGTCCTCCACCCACACTCCCTGACCCCAGGCAATGTGGCCAGGAGACAAAGGTAAAGCACTTAGCATAGGGCCTAGCACACAGCAGGCATTCAGTAACGTTACCTTTACCCTCTCTCTTTCTCCCAGTTATTAGTAAGTCTCCTTAAGGAGACATGTAGCATAGTAGAAATAACATGGTCATGGGAACAAAAAAGAAACCTGTGTTCAAATCCCAACTTAGTTCAGATCCCAGCTGTGGAACCTTGGGGAAATCATATCACCACTCAGCTTCAGTATCTTCATCTGTAAAACGGGGTTAGCAATCAACCTTAAAGGGCTAGTCTAAGAATTATACAAGGGAATATACCTGAAGTCCCCCGTACCTAGTCAGAAATGCACTCTGTGCCATTTATTAAATATGATTTTAATTCAGTCAAAACACAACTGAAAAGGAAAAAAACACCCATGTATCCTCACATCACTGTCACCCCCTTCCAGTCACATTCTTTAAGTCCATAAACCAGGCCCGGGCCATTTTGAAACAGAGCAGGACCCTGTGGGGTGCTCTTGGGCACAAAAGCCTTGCTGTGTGCCCCGTTTCTTGTTTGCAGGAAAAAGGCTTCAGCCTCCCAGACCTTTTCTGAGTTCCAAAGGGCAGTCAAACAGTTACTAATTAGGGAGTGAGGGAATACAGGAAACAAAGAAAAGGCAGTCAAACAATAGTGCAGGATGGGGCCTGGTTCCGGTTCCTGGGGGGGGGGGGGGGGG